TATTCCTGTCTGATCGATGTTCATAAACAATGTTACTTTGTATCTCTCTATCTCCCGTCTGATCCATGTTTATAAACTGTTACTTTGTTTCTCTCCGTCTCATATCTGATCAGTGTTTATAAACAATGTTACTTTGTATCTCTCTATCTCCCGTCTGATCAATGTTTATAAACAATGTTACTTTGTATCTATCTCCCGTCTGATCGATGTTTATAAACAATGTTACTTTGTATGTATCTCCCGTCTGATCGATGTTTATAAACAATGTTACTTTGTATCTCTCTATCTCCCGTCTGATCAATGTTTATAAACAATGTTACTTTGTATCTCTCTATCTCCCGTCTGATCAATGTTTATAAACAATGTTACTTTGTATCTCTCTATCTCCGTCTGATCGATGTTTATAAACAATGTTACTTTGTATCTATCTCCCGTCTGATCGATGTTTATAAACAATGTTACTTTTGTATCTCTCTATCTCCTGTCTGATCAATGTTTATAAACAATGTTACTTTGTATCTCTCTATCTCCTGTCTGATCAATGTTTATAAACAATGTTACTTTGTATCTCTCTATCTCCCGTGATCGATGTTTATAAACAATGTTACTTTGTATCTCTCTATCTCCCGTCTGATCGATCTTTTATAAAGAGTGTTACCTTGTATCTCTCTCACATCGGATCAATGTTTATAAACAATGTTACTTTGTATCTCTCTATCTCCCGTCTGATCGATGTTTATAAAGAGTGTTACCTTGTATCTCTCTCACATCGGATCAATGTTTATAAACAATGTTACTTTGTATCTCTCTCACATCTGATCAATGTTTATAAACAATGCTACTTTGTATCTCTCTATCTCCCGTCTGATCGATGTTTATAAACAATGTTACCTTGGATCTATCTCCCATCTGAACTGTGTTGATAAACACAGTCGGGTTCTTTTTTCTTTACAGCTGTGGCTGGTGGAGCTGCTCTATGTACACAACAACTTGTAGCCGACAATTACTGACTATTCTAGTGATGTAGGGAATGCGTCTGGTTCTGTCTGACTCATTGCTTCTTCAGTAGCACATTGTGAGACGCTCACAGTGTGCAGTGACATGAGAATAAAGAGATTTCTGTAGAGTGGCTGGTAGAGAACATTGACTGGATTTTCACTCGGGGGAGGGGAATGAAGAACAGGCACCGCAGAGCGGGAGATCCTAATGAGGGTTGTGTATTCCATGCAGTCAGCTCCATTCATCAAGTGTCATGAGGGGCTTACTGTAAGAACACTTCTTTGGCCTCCCATACATGTCGCTCATCTATTATGAAACACTTCTTGCGTCTCTTTTGGCTTTGCAGGAGATTTGTGCTGCAGGGGAGCCGGGCGTTTATTTTTTTTTTTCCCATTGATGAATTAATCATGATCGTGTTGTATCCTCCATACACAAGCCGGGCGTATATCAGGCCGTTCAACGGAGCCTCGTTCAGGCTGATCTCATATGCACGAGTCGTGTTTTCTTAGAAATCGTTTTTTCCATTTGTTGAACGTCTTGCAGCGAAGGCCGTGCGAATTGTTCAGCACATCTGCAGAGTGCGATGGAAGTAGGAAGCGTCCCTTGGGGGGTTACAGTAACCTCATTTAGATGGATTGCATTGTAGATAGAAAAAAACGACTTCATTAGAGTTTAGGTCGAAGAAATGCTCCAATGGAGAGCTGTGGGGTCGGCTGTGCTGCAGCTATTGTAGGAAGTAGAAGGAATGTTCTGTTGGAGGGCCGTGGGTTCACTCTACAGGGGGCTCCTGAAGGCCCCAGCATGATCTGCTAGGAGAGGCAGGGGTGTATTTACCACAAGGCATTTGCCTAGGGCGGCATTTCTCATGGGGGGGCAGCACTGCCCCTCGGAGGAAGAGACGGAAGGAGGGACACACGTGGCATGGGGACCTGGTGGGTTCCGAGAGAGGCTGCGGGTTTCATGCACAGCCCAACTCTCGTTCCTGGGGAGGTCCGGAGCTGTTAAAGCAGAATTCCACTCGACCTATCGAAAAATAAGTCAGCAGCTACAAAAACTGTAGATGCTGACTTTTAAAAAACAGCCACTTACCCGTCCCTCGGTCCCGCGGCTGCACAGCCCCCGAACGCTGACAGTGTGCATGTGGGGTTGTGCGCCCGCTTGGATGTCGGATTGAGAGTAGTGTCCTTGCAGCCCCTGCAAATCCTGGAAGAACCCCCTGCAAACTGCTGTATACCCTCCCTAGCTAACTGCTGTATACCCTCTCTAGCAAACTGCTGTATACCCTCTCTAGCAAACTGCTGTATACCCTCTCTAGCAAACTGCTGTATACCCTCTCTAGCAAACTGCTGTATACCCTCCCTGGCAAACTGCTGTATACCCTCTCTAGCAAACTGCTGTATACCCTCTCTAGCAAACTGCTGTATACCCTCCCTGGCAAACTGCTGTATACCCTCCCTAGCAAACTGCTGTATACCCTCCCTGGCAAACTGCTGTATACCGTCTCTAGCTAACTGCTGTATACCCTCTCTAGCAAACTGCTGTATACCCTCCCTGGCTAACTGCTGTATACCGTCTCTAGCAAACTGCTGTATACCCTCCCTAGCAAACTGCTGTATACCCTTTCTAGCAATTTTTACAATTAAAAAAAAAAAAGGGATTTTTAGTTCCTACATATTGCAACATAGCATGTAGTAACATTGTTTCTAAACATCGATCGGAGGGGAGATAGAGAGATACAAAGTAACATTGTTTATAAACATTGATCACACGGGAGATAGGTGTTTTTGGTCAATGTCAGGCTCTCTGAGGGGGGGGGGGCGCCAATTTTTTTTGTTGCCTAGGGCAGCACAAAACCTAAATACACCACTGGCATGAGGCCTTATTTACATGGTGGTACTACAGCGTATACCCATGGGAGGACTGTGTTTTCCCGCATGGGGGGGATGCACAGCTTTTCCGTGCAGGCAGTCCCTTTTCATATCAGGAGACAGCGGCCACACAGACACAGCCCCTGCCCCAATTTGACATCAATGCAATCCCAATTCGTGTAAATTAATTGGTTTACGTGCAAGTTATAGCGTTTAATGGCGGTATAATAGATGCTGGAATAAATACATTTTTCCTTTTTTAATACTAGTAATGACGGCAATGGCAGCGACTTTTTTAATACTATATGCGGGGACTATGGCAGGCATTCTGACACTGGGGGGGGGACTGCCTAACTGTCACTGACATCCCCAGTGACACTAATAGAGAGATCAGTGATAATAGAAAGCACTGACACTGTAGTAATGGCACTGGGCAGGAAGGGGTTAATATCTGGGGCGATCAAAGGGTTAACTGTGTGCTGTGTGTGTTTTACATGATGTGCTGTGTGTGTTACTAGGGAGACGTGCTGTGCAGAGAAATACACAGCAGCATGTCCTTGCTGGCAGGAGAGAGACCGGTGTTGTTTATACATAGGTCTCTCCCCTGTGTGTTCTACACAGCGATTGCCGGGTGGTGGCGGGGAATCTCCGACGGAACCCAGTGATTGACATCCCTAGCCGCCAATGGCACACACACTCCCCCCACATATATAGTGTGTGATTTTACGCAGCCCTGCCATGCTGTAGCAGTAGTTCTACTATAGGGCAGCGGGAAAGGGGTAAATTGGCTCCTGTGTAAATTGTCCCTAGTATTTGTATGTATGAATGTGAGTTAGGGACCTTAGATTGTACACTCCTCGGGGGCGGGGACTGATGTGAATGTACAATATATATGTAAAGTGCTGCGTAAATTGACGGTGCTATATAAGTACCTGAAATAAATAATGTGGTTACACCCCTTTAGCACCTGATAGATACATGTATGAGCTGTTGGATTTTAAGCACAGATATATCTCTTAGATTGTAAGCTCCCAGGATCAGGGCCCTCCTAACCCTCTTGTATTGAACTATATTGTCTCCCGTTATATTGTAAAGCGCTGAGCAAACTGTTGGCTCTATATAAATCCTGTGTAATTATTTATTTATTTCAGGTACTTATATAACGCCATCAATTTACGCAGCACTTTACATATATATTGTACATTCACATCAGTCCCCGCCCCTGAGGAGCATACAATCTAAGGTCCCTAACTCACATTCATACATATACCGTATTTTTCGCTCCGTAAGACGCACCTAGGTTTTAGAGGCAGAAAACAGGAAAAAATATTCTGAACCAATGGACTGCAGATGACCAGAGACTGCGGACATAATACAGGAGATGACCAGAGACTGCGGACACAGTACAGGATATGACCAGAGACTGCAGCCATACTACAGGAGATGACCAGAGACTGCGGACACAGTACAGGAGATGACCAGAGACTGCGGACACAGTACAGGAGATGACCAGAGACTGCGGACACAGTACAGGAGATGACCGGAGACTGCGGACACAGTACAGGAGATGACCGGAGACTGCGGACACAGTACGGGAGATGACCGGAGACTGCGGACACAGTACGGGGAGATGACCGGAGACTGCGGACAGTACGGGAGATGACCAGAGACTGCGGACATAGTACAGGAGATGACCATAGACTGCGGACACAGCACAGGGATGACCAGAGACTGCGGACACAGTACAGGAGATGACCGGAGACTGCGGACACAGTACAGGGATGACCAGAGACTGCGGACACAGTAGCAGGAGATGACCGGAGACTGCGGACACAGTACAGGAGATGACCGGAGACTGCGGACATAGTACGGGAGACGACCAGAGACTGCGGACAGCACAGGGATGACCAGAGACTGCGGACAGTACAGGAGATGACTGCGGACCTTTGGGGAGGGGGGAGAGGGTACCTGAATTTGACAGGTACCCGCTCTTACTTCCACGGAGTTGTTCTTTGATCTTACCTGTTCCTCTATCCAGCGGCGCGCTGTCTTCCCGGCTTCTGTAGTGTGGGCGCTCATGTTGACAGCGGGTGCCCAGTGCGCATGAGCGAGAAACGCTGCGCTTTGTGATTGGTCCGGCGGCTTCTGGGATCTGTCATGTGTCCCAGGTACCGCCTTACCATTCACAAACCGCACCGCTTCTTGCGCATGCGCACTTGGCACCCGGCTGTCAAGCCGAGCGCCTACACTACAAAAGCCGGGAAGACAGCGCGCCGCTGGATAGAGGAACAGGTAAGGTCCCGCTGCAGAACTGAGCGGCCGGCCCGGTATTCTGACACGGCAGCGGTGGAAATACCGGACCAGCCGCTCCATATTCGCTCCATAAGACGCACTGACATTTCCCCCCCTTTTTTTTGGGGGGAAAAAAGTGTGTCTTATGGAGCGACAAATACGGTATGTACTAGGGCCAATTTAGACAGGAGACAATTAACCTACCAGCATGTCTTTGGATTGTGGGAGGAAACCGGAGTACCCAGGGGAACCCACGCAGGCACAGGGAGAACATGCAAACTCCAGGCTAATAATATCTTGTTTCTGTTGCATTTACTTGTCAGTAGCCAGACCTAAACCTATAGCTCTGCTCCCACTTTGTAAACGAAGAACTTCTCCTGCGTTTAGAAGCAAAGTCACTGAACTGGAATGTATGGTAGAGATGATATTCCTCCGGGATAATGATTAGGCGATGCAGCGCTCCTCAGAAAGGGGAATCCAAACACAAACTGAAAGCGAACACACAAGGCGCAAAAGCCGAATGCATACTCGCAAACATCCAAAGTAAAAAGCAAGACGCAGGTGACTGATGGTCAACCAGCTTGGTGGGTTCCCAGCTGCCGGTGGTGTTGGCAAGCTGAAAGGGTCGTTTGACCCCCAAAGGGGTCGCGACCCACAGGTTTAGAACCACTGCATTAGGCGCCTCCCCCAATGTTGTCAGGCATGCATACAGGCACATGGGGGCCATAGACACTACTGAGAACCATTCTGAGGACATTTCAACAGAATGGACTCGCCTGCGGCATCATTTCTTCACTTTGATTTTCGGGGTGTCTGTGAATTCAGTCCTCTGTAGGTCGATCATTTTCATTTCCATCAAACGATGGGGCGTCCTTACATTCCTCACCCATCCCCCGTCCATATCAGTATAGAGATCCAGCAGGAGATTCCTCCCCATTGAGATCTGATGGGTTTTCAAAGTCTTCCTTTCATTTTTTTGAGCCGTGTATAATACATTTATCATTTGTTGTCCGACTCCAACATATGCAGTCATTAGCCATGTGTGTGTTTGTCTCCTTTGTGTAGTTTTGGCCTCGGTGTGTCGTCAGGATGTGGCAGGGTTGCCAGGTCTGTCCTTGGAGACTTGTCGGGGATCTTGCAGAATCGTCTGACTAGCAAGGCCGAGGTGTTGAAATAATATCGTCATATTGCTGCAATTTGTCACGTATTGGTGGTTTGCTGGCAGCTGTGTGTGGCAATGTGCAGATCATTGCAGAATCTCTATCTTTATTCTTTTTCCTTTTTAGATCTCTTCTGTTGAACGCACTATATCCCAGGTGCCCAACCTGCTCTTCGGAGGTTGCATGTGGCCCTTTGGCACTTGTTGTGTTGCCCTTGAGGCCCTTGCAGGCATTAATCTGTGTTTCCCTATTGCCCTGTTATAGCAGAAATCTCTAACAGTGATGTTTCTCCAGTCTGCGACTCTCTTGAAGAATGTCCCCAGTCTCCAACAACTTCCAACATTCATAGTCTCTGACCATCTCTTGCATTGTGCCTGCGGTCTCTGACCATCTCCTGTATCGTGTCTGCGGTCTCTGACCATCTCCTGTATCGTGTCTGCGGTCTCTGACCATCTCCTGTATCGTGTCTGCGGTCTCTGACCATCTCCTGTATCGTGTCTGCGGTCTCTGACCATCTCCTGTATGTGTCTGCGGTCTCTGACCATCTCCTGTATCGTGTCTGCGGTCTCTGACCGTCTCCTGTATCGTGTCTGCGGTCTCTGACCGTCTCCTGTATCGTGTCTGCGGTCTCTGACCGTCTCCTGTATCGTGTCTGCGGTCTCTGACCGTCTCCTGTATCGTGTCTGCGGTCTCTGACCGTCTCCTGTATCGTGTCTGCGGTCTCTGACCGTCTCCTGTATCGTGTCTGCGGTCTCTGACCGTCTCCTGTATCGTGTCTGCGGTCTCTGGTCATCTCCTGTATCGTGTCTGCGGTCTCTGACCGTCTCCTGTATCGTGTCTGCGGTCTCTCTGACCGTCTCCTGTATCGTGTCTGCGGTCTCTGACCGTCTCCTGTATCGTGTCTGCGGTCTCTGACCGTCTCCTGTATCGTGTCTGCGGTCTCTGACCGTCTCCTGTATCGCGTCTGCGGTCTCTGACCGTCTCCTGTATCGCGTCTGCGGCTTCTGACCGTCTCCTGTATCGCGTCTGCGGCTTCTGACCGTCTCCTGTATCGTGTCTGCGGCCTCTGACCGTCTCCTGTATCGCGTCTGCGGCTTCTGACCGTCTCCTGTATCGCGTCTGCGGCCTCTGACCGTCTCCTGTATCGCGTCTGCGGCCTCTGACCGTCTCCTGTATCGCGTCTGCGGCCTCTGACCGTCTCCTGTATCGCGTCTGCGGCCTCTGACCGTCTCCTGTATCGCGTCTGCGGCCTCTGACCGTCTCCTGTATCGCGTCTGCGGCCTCTGACCGTCTCCTGTATCGCGTCTGCGGCCTCTGACCGTCTCCTGTATCGCGTCTGCGGCCTCTGACCGTCTCCTGTATCGCGTCTGCGGCCTCTGACCGTCTCCTGTATCGCGTCTGCGGCCTCTGACCGTCTCCTGTATCGCGTCTGCGGCCTCTGACCGTCTCCTGTATCGCGTCTGCGGTCTCTGACCGTCTCCTGTATCGCGTCTGCGGCCTCTGACCGTCTCCTGTATCGCGTCTGCGGCTTCTGACCGTCTCCTGTATCGCGTCTGCGGCTTCTGACCGTCTCCTGTATCGTGTCTGCGGTCTCTGACCGTCTCCTGTATCGTGTCTGCGGTCTCTGACCGTCTCCTGTATCGTGTCTGCGGTCTCTGGTCGTCTCCTGTATCGTGTCTGCGGTCTCTGACCGTCTCCTGTATCGTGTCTGCGGTCTCTGACCGTCTCCTGTATCGTGTCTGCGGTCTCTGACCGTCTCCTGTATCGTGTCTGCGGTCTCTGACCGTCTCCTGTATCGTGTCTGCGGTCTCTGACCGTCTCCTGTATCGCGTCTGCGGTCTCTGACCGTCTCCTGTATCGCGTCTGCGGCTTCTGACCGTCTCCTGTATCGCGTCTGCGGCTTCTGACCGTCTCCTGTATCGTGTCTGCGGCCTCTGACCGTCTCCTGTATCGCGTCTGCGGCTTCTGACCGTCTCCTGTATCGCGTCTGCGGCCTCTGACCGTCTCCTGTATCGCGTCTGCGGCCTCTGACCGTCTCCTGTATCGCGTCTGCGGCCTCTGACCGTCTCCTGTATCGCGTCTGCGGCCTCTGACCGTCTCCTGTATCGCGTCTGCGGCCTCTGACCGTCTCCTGTATCGCGTCTGCGGCCTCTGACCGTCTCCTGTATCGCGTCTGCGGCCTCTGACCGTCTCCTGTATCGCGTCTGCGGCCTCTGACCGTCTCCTGTATCGCGTCTGCGGCCTCTGACCGTCTCCTGTATCGCGTCTGCGGTCTCTGACCGTCTCCTGTATCGCGTCTGCGGCCTCTGACCGTCTCCTGTATCGCGTCTGCGGCTTCTGACCGTCTCCTGTATCGCGTCTGCGGCTTCTGACCGTCTCCTGTATCGCGTCTGCGGCTTCTGACCGTCTCCTGTATCGCGTCTGCGGCTTCTGACCGTCTCCTGTATCGCGTCTGCGGCTTCTGACCATCTCCTCAGTGACCATCTCTTGCATCGTGTCTGCGGCCTCTGACCATCTCTTGCATCGTGTCTGCGGCCTCTGACCATCTCTTGCATCGTGTCTGCGGCCTCTGACCATCTCTTGCATCGTGTCTGCAGCCTCTGACCATCTCTAGTGAATCTTTAGAATTTACAATCACATGATGCCTCAGGCCTGACTCCTCTCCTCCTCTGTTTACGTCCAGCACGGGTTTTTTTTTTTTTTTTTCCACATCATAATAATCTCAGCAGTTTGCATTCTACCCCTTGGTTTAGAGGAGGAAGTGGAAGTTTTCTCTGTGTGAGCGTGTGACATGAGAACCAGCGGGTCCCGGGGCTTCACCGGAGGGGAAGATGTCATTTCCTGTCATTCTCAGGGAGGTACTCGCCTGTCTGCTCAGACTGATTTCACACACACAGAGCTTTCTTTTGGTGGTATTTTATCGCCGCTGGGAGTTTTTTTTTTTTGCACTATAAACTAAACTAACTTTCTATTATAAAATTTAGCAAATAGGTAATTTTTGTCCTTCACTGATGTGCATTATTGAGGCTGCACTGATAGGCAGCGCTGATGAAGTGCCACTGGTGGGCATTGATGAGGCACTGATAGGCGGCACTGGTGGGCATTGATGAGGCACTGATAGGCGGCACTGGTGGGTATTGATGAGGCACTGATAGGTGGCACTGACTGGCGGCACTGTTGGGCACATCTGCTGGGGGCAATGATGGGTGGCACTGCTGGGCATTGGTGGTGCCTGTAGGGCACTGATCATTATTATTATTATACAGTATTTATAAAGCGCCAACAGTTCGCTCAGCGCTGTACATTACAATGGGAGACAGAACATGCGACAGTACAGTAACAATACAATACAATACACGAGGGCTTCGAGGGCCCTGCTCCTTGGAGCTTACAATCTAGGAGGGAGGGGATAGTGGTACGGGAGGAATAGCTGTGGGGGATGGAGTGGTAGGAAGATTGGAGGAGATCGGCAGTTAGGGGGTGGGGTAGGCTTCCCTGAAGAGGTGGGTTTTCAGAGTGCGCCTAAAGGAGAGGAGAGTAGGTGATAGGTGGATGGATTGGGGTAGGGAGTTCCAGAAGATGGGTGAGGCCCTGGAGAAGTCCTGCAGGTGGGCATGGGAGGAGGAGACCAGGGAACTAGAGAGAAGGAGGTCTTGTGAGGAGCGGAGTGTGCGTGTTGGG